ATATTCCAAATGTGGTGTGCCAAGTCATGTATAGAAAATATTTATTACGTTTTGGGCTTTTGGTTTACTTATAGCTTTAGTTAGGTTACATACAGTAATGTAAAATGTTTTTCCGCTGACCGGCAGGTATCTAAAGTAGCCGATACTAGAAATTTAAGTACTCACTTCCGGTATCGAAAATTGAAATTTTGTGTTCATTTTGGTATCGAAATAGGTATCGGTATCGGCCGATACCGATCTTAAAAGTATCGGTATCGGTATCGAATTAAAAATCCTGGTATCGCCCATCACTAATGCAACCTCGTACCCAGGATCTTTCTTTGGGAAAGACCCTGGCTGCGGCTGGTCACGTGCTTCATCAAAAATTTAGCGCCTGAGGGGGTGTGGGGAAAGTATCAAATTACATCAACATGCTTCCAGCGGGATATTCGTCAAAAACATAGATTTTGCGAATTATTACGTTCAAAATACTTGCTAATTTTTGTTTATTTTCTTTGCTTTGAATTTACAAGAACATTGTTACATTCTTACTTACAGTCAAGTCAAGAAACCAAGCAAATCGTTACTCGCAGTGCTCTCTCGTGTTGTTATTCAATGCATGCTCTCTTCACACTCGAGCGCGGTTATAACAAACGTTTATTTGTTGTAATGTTTTTAAAATAGGCCATTACATTTGTCCTTTCTTGTAAACGTTGATACGCTTTGCACCGATTCACTTGTTACTACGCGTCTTGTTTATAAGATTTTTAAAAGAAACAGTATTGTCTAGGACTGGCCCAAATATTAGCAAATGTAAACATTTGATAATAGCCGAACAGAGAAATGTCCATAAGCATAGAGGAAATTTCAGGATTTATCTGGATTTACTACATAAATTCGTATTCGGTAATTATAGTAAGACTTTAGCCTTTTTCTTGGTCTCTATTAATCATTATATTGTGCTAATATACTATAATCTATATCACAAATTTACAGTGTCAGATGCGCACAGACCGTCATTTGGCGTCATACGAATAGACATAAATTTTCGAGTTTTCTACTTCTACTAACATTTTTAAAGTTTTCATTGTGAATAACCTGTTTATCTCTAATTCATTAATCATTTGCTACTTATATTTATTTGATAGTGTCAATGTCATATAGTGAATAATGCGTTTACGCACAAGCAATCCTGGATATTTTTTTTTTTTTTTATATAAACATATTTTATTATTAATATAATGTGTTTGCCCCAAAAGCGCAAATGGCTTATCTAGGGGGCTCACACTAACTTTACAAAAAATTTTTTGGTTTTATTAAAAAAGGAAGAAATACTCAACAAATACTTTACAAAAACATGCACACACACAAATTACAAACATGCTTTTGAATTAACTATGACTTAGAGAGAAGCGATGTGTTGAAAGGATATAATTCTGAATGACTTTAAAAAAATTACAATTATCATCAAAACTTAAATCCTGAATACCATTAAGAATATACCACAATTTTATCGCACCGCTACTCTCCGACCATTTATTACCACAAATCCGCTGGGCAGAGGCAAGAAATATGTTACGTTGAGCAGCGAATCGGGAGCAAGACAAGAAATAGTGATGGACAGATATGATATAGACGATGCAAGCTGTCCATTAAAAAATAACGGTATTCTATTTCACAAAGCAAAAATTTAAATCTCACTTGTATATATTAAGAATGCATATAAAGCAAAAAATTAAAGCTTATTCATGTCAAAACGAAAGCTGTTTACAAAATTTATAAAGGTGGTGAACACTACTAAACAGTGCTCATTGAAAGACATGTATAATACAGTGACATATAATTTGCCGTTTGACTTATCTTTGGTATGATTTTAATACCGTAGATTTTCAACAGACAGCTATACTTTGACATATACCATGATCGTTGGATTCAGCAATGCCAAGGGCCAATTTTATAGTCTTTTGACGGGCTTTAAGTTTTTTGATAAGGCCTTTATATACTTTATATAGATCAACAATCTGGATACAGTTGGCGATATTTCGGAAATCAAAAGATCTCGCTATTTCGTTGCAATTCCACATCTCATCAATAAATAAATTCTTTTGGTCCGAGTATCAGGATAAACTTTAATACTAAATAAATAACAACCACACTGTTCGGTCTAGAGATATATATTTTCTTGTAGGTTTAATCACAGTTTAATATTGCCACGCTGCACAAGCGGAAAGCGTGCTTTCTTTGGCAAGTCTATAATGAAATCTGATCCAACTTGCTTGAATTGTAACTCGACACCAGATTATAGAGTAGAACGTCACGATATAAATATTAATTCAAGAGTTCTCTTTACGATATCTTGTCGCAAATTTACAGTACGTAAATTTCATCACCCAAAGTTGCAATTTTAAAACGCTACAAACACGCTCCTTTCCCACCCCTCTCACAGTTACAATTAAATTTACCTCCCAGAATCTGGGAGGCACGTGACCAGCCGCAGCCAGGGTCTCTCCCAGATGACAGACGGAGAGACCCTGGGAACGAGGTTGGGTGATGCTGGGCTTCTCTAGCAGGGGGGTGGTAGACACCACTAGGCGGGGTGCGTGCGCCCGACGGTAGAGCCGCCACTGTTAAAATCGAACCATTAAAGACATTAACTTATACATCTCACAAATGAGATCAGAATTCAGATTTGAGTCAAAAGTGATTTGAAGATCATTGGATGGATTTCTTACTGTTGATTAGAGACGATGTTTAGTTGTTTCGGAAACCTTACGCTTCGTAAGCGCAGATCTTCATCAGTGCAAATAACACTGTAAATGTATTTTTATCATTCTTTCTTACTATCACCAGGGGCCAAGATATATGTCAACAGAGACTCATGCAAGATATCATGCAATGCCCAATATGCAAAGTAAGTTTCTGAATAGCTCTAGCTATAGCAGTTCTAAATTGTTCTTCCTAGAAGCCCAGTATATAAGGATCATCTCTTATTGATCCAGTGTTACTACAGGAGGAAAACTAAACTAAACTAACTTCATTTATACTGGATAGCTCTCACAGTTCTAAACTGTTCTTCCTAGAGGTCGAGTAAGAGTCATTTGTGTCTGATCTGTCGATTATACTTGATTGATTTTAACTACAGGGGTATGCTCCTCCAGAAAAAATCGAGATCTAGAATCTCTAAAATGGCATTTCCTCCATTGTGAGGAAGATTTCAAATGACTACCTCAACGATTGAAACTGATCGTAAACGCCCACAGCAACTGTTTCCAGTTACGACCGCTGTAAAAAATCAACCCGTCTGCATTTATAAGGCTGCATGTTGGGTTGTTTTGAATTTTTAAATTACCCGCTACGAGTCGATAGAGCACATTTTCACTGAAGATATTTAGCTGTGACTTTTTGAAGTAGTAAGTTTTATATTTAATTAAATTGAAACGGTATGAACACTAATCAACTTTACTTTTAAGTTAACACTTCAAGAAAGACTGTTGGTCGAAAAGAAGGATCTGGTTTCACACATGCGTACAACGACGAGCCGATTACACATCGACCAAAAGATGCTTACGACAGTTCGTATCAGGTGACACTTCCTAGCAATTCTCTCGCAACTTATGTCACTAAGTTTAAAGCTGGTTTACACTATCAAAGTTTCTGTGATCACGGTAGGAATCTCCAGGGTGCAATAATTCAAGATTATAGTCGTACTTGACTGGTACGCCAATTGTTGTTGCCGCATACCTGCGCTAGAACAAACTCAGTACTCAATGTGTACTAAGTCATTTAAATAAGGTTAATTATACAGATTTCTGAAAAGTATGTTCAGACTACGAGGTAGAAAAAGAAGCATAATTGCATACACAAACAATCGACTCCAACGTTTCTTAGTGCCATCAGTGCAATCATGTTTCATGCCAAGACATCTCAGACACATGATATACCAACTAAATTACGGTATTGAATACCTTGGACTTGGAAAGGTCATGTGGTACCAGCAAAAAGTAAGTACGCAGATAGCAAGAGTTCCGCGTACCTACGTGGTACTTGGCTGAAAACAAAGAAGTACCAGACCGTAATATTGGCGTACCTCCGGTATGTAAGTACGCGAATTATCGCACCCTGAATTTTGCAACGGAATTTTGAAGGATTTGCAAGAAATGTTTGAGGGAACTGGCTTGTGTTTAACACTGAATCGGTTCATTCAAACCTTTCTTACAAATCCTTTAAAACTTAGAATTAAACCGATGCAAAATTCCTACTGTGATCACAGAAACTTTGATAGTGTAAATGAGCTTCAAGAGTTCTTCGCTCATGTCATAAATATGATTCTGTTCCTCTTAGCTTATTTCGTTATCAAGACCAACAGGAATGAGTGTGATGAAAACATCGTTTTTGCCTTCCGTGTTTTGTGATGTAAGTAAACTATAGCCAAGAAACATTGTGCGCTAACCATGTTTCCCAAAGGTGGACAAGCCAGAAAAATATTGCCGGAAACATTCCCATGTGAAGCTAATGCTTGCACGTGGTATTTCTAAGAACAAACGCACTAAGTCTTGTGTTTCTGAAATAGTGAATTTGTTTCTGAAACTCATTAATTCATGAAGAAACACAAATGAAGAAGGTCTGTATAAAAAATTTAGTCGAAGCCAGAATGGGCAATTCCAGCTATAGATTAAATTTTGATCTAGGCAAGAAGAACAAAATCCATCGCCACAGCTAGAAAGGGCATGTTAAAATTAGTAAAGTTCCAAAGTTTGGCCGCGAAATGTTGTAAAATGAGGAGAATATACAGTAGCCCTGCGAAATTTGCTAATTTTGTATTAATTTGTATTACGCGCGGGAAAATGCACTACATTTGGGCCGAAAGTGGTGCAAATTCCCGTGCGTATAATACACAAATTAATACAAAATTTGCAAATTTCGCAGGGCTATATATTTTCCTCATTTTACAACATTTCGCGGCCAAACTTTGCAATTTTATACTAATTTTTACATGCTCTTTCTAGCTGTGGTGATGGATTTTGTTCGTGTTTTCCCGTAATTTATTTGTTTGCAAATATAGCGCCCCATATTTCTCAAGATTTTGTTGAAATCCCAATCGATATTGAAAAATAATAAATAATTGAAGCTGGGTCTTGTAGATGGAACTTATCGAGTGGAAATTTATATACATTTACTAGACTGTTTCCAGTTGATTGCGACATTTCCCTATTTCCCCTTATAAAGATCTGAGCAAGCTTTGGTTTGTTTTGAAAATGACTCTGAAATAGAGTCGAAGTGTCCATAATTTGTGTCTTGGTTTCTTTAAATACATGTAGCTCATATCTTGAGTGTAAAACATGGCATTATTATTAGGAGTATGTTTTTTCCTGATATTTCTTATATTTTATTTTATACCAGGGCAAAGAACGGTTGCCGATTTTACCTCGAAATGCAGAGCGCACAACTGGATTCACAAGAGAAGCCATGGGCAAGCCTGCATTTTATTTGCCCAACAAGGAAAAGGTTTGCACCTACAGTATAATAAAGCTTTGTAGGTGAAAATTTCCGCGAAGCTCTATGTTTACAATTGCGACCTGAAGCCGCGTATGAATTCATTTGTTTTGATTTCTGAAAACAGCACGGTTTATTCATTTGGCAAAGCCTCCGTCCGCTAGCCCGGCACTATATCAGGGGGATCCATCCAAAATTTTGAAAATCAGGTGTCCCTCATTGGCTAAATTAAAATGCATTTGCCCTACAACATTTGTCACATCATTCTATAGTCCATACATTTATACACTATCCCACTATTAAGATGAATGTGCAGCACTTTCTATTGCTTAGAATTTTCCTGTGAAGTTCTTCTTTTATCTAAATTATTACAATTATCAAAGGTCGTAGGTTCGATTCCCACCGTGGCCAGGCATATTTTTCAAGCTTGCCCGGTGTGGATATACACTCAGAGTAACATCACAAACATCATATTCACCTGAGTACATAACACCAATGTTCACAGAAAAAAATCATAACTATCTATATTTTTCTTTTCTTGGGGAAATATTTTCTGGGAACTTTTACACTTTTCCGCCCCTGCATGGTAAAATGGTAAATTACTTTAAATCGTGGGAATTTCACTCGACAGAACAAAATGGATTTTTTTTTAATGGGTGGTATCTTAAAAACATCAACGGCTTCAAAAACTTGTACATAAAGAAATATATACAAGTTTTTGAAGCCCTTGATGTTTTTAAGATATCACCCTTATATTGTACGTAATACCTCGGAGTGTAATATGCATAAAACACTGACCTGTTTCTTCTCATCAGTTCCAATAATTTTTTTTCAGGTTTTCACAGAATTGAACGATATCCCATCTTTGGTTCAGGATCGCATCAAGAAAGAACATCCAACAGAATACTTGAATTTGACCAACCCCAATAACAAATCCAGGTTGATATTGGTAGCGTTCTAAAACAAAACAACATACTATACTGAAACATCTATTACGAAACCAACTATACTTCATCAGTTCTAAACTGTTCTCCCTGGAGGTCCAGTAAGAGTAATCTCTTATTGATCTAGTGTTATTACAATAGGAAACCTAAACTAAACTAACTTTATTTATCCTGGATAGCTCTATCAGTTCTAAACTGTTCTTCCTAGAGATCCAGTAAGGATCCTCTCTTATTGATCCAGTGTTACTACAGGAGAAAACCTAAACTAAACTAACTTTATTTATACTGGATAGCTCTATCAGTTCTAAACTGTTCTTCCTAGAGATCCAGTAAGGATCATCTCTTATTGACCCAGTGTTACTGCAGGAGGAAACCTAAACTAACATTACTTATACTGGATAGCTCTATCAGTTCTAAACGTTCTCCCTAACACATTCAATTCCGTTCTATAGTATCACAAGCAAAACCTTCACAGGCCTACAACAGAACCACCCGAGTTTAGCGCAGCGCCTTGCCAACAGCAATATAGGAAGCAAGGTAAGTTTATGAGAAGAAATAAATTAAAATCCAACTTCTATTAAAATTAAAGTTTTTCTCTTTCGCTGTTTGTTTTTTTTAGGAACTAACAGGTTTCACAGAGAATAACTGTCAGTATGTTGAACATTTTGAAACACCAGAAACACTGAGTCGCTTTAAGACACATTATGACTCGCAGTAAGTATCATGCAGACGTAGTACATGTTCTTGAATGTAGGCTACCTTAAAGTGATCTGATGTTGTACAGAACTCATGTGAGTAAAGTTACGTCTCTCTGAGTTAAGCATGGTTAGATCATGCAGAGGTAGTACATGCTCTTGAATGTAGATTACCTTAAAGTGAACTGATGTTGTACAGAACTCGTGTGAGTATAGAGTTAAGTCTTTCTGAGTTAAGCATGGTTAGATCATGCAGAGGTAGTACATGTTCTTGAATGTGGGTTACCTTAAAGTGATCTGATGTTGTACAGAACTCATGTGAGTATAGAGTTAAGTCTCTCTGAGTTAAGCATGGTTAGATCATGCAGAGGTAGTACATGTTCTTGAATGTAGGTTACCTTAAAGTGAACTGATGTTGTACAGAACTCATGTGAGTATAGAGTTAAGTCTTTCTGAGTTAAGCATGGTTAGATCATGCAGAGGTAGTACATGTTCTTGAATGTGGGTTACCTTAAAGTGATCTGATGTTGTACAGAACTCATGTGAGTATAGAGTTAAGTCTCTCTGAGTTAAGCATGGTTAGATCATGCAGACTGGGGTAGTACATGTTCTTGAATTAGCGCTTGTAAGGATTTTATTTTATATTTTTTCGATACAAACTCTATCTATTCTACTGAGTATCACTTCTTCTCGCTAGATTCCAGGACAGAAATCCGACAGGAGAAGCTCGGCTAGGCCGGACAGCCGGTCATGTGATGCCGTTACCACTCGACGGTTTCACCAAATCTACCAAGGTGGATAATTTCGGTCCACAGTTCAACACGACGAAACAAATACAAAACTTGCAGCCTTATGTTGCCAGGTAATTCTTATTTATGACACTATTTATCAGTGCCCATTCAGCGCTAAACTGTTCTCAAACCCCGGTCATGGATTTAAACGGATAAACCTATCCTGTATAAATTAAGCTTAGGTTTCCTCTTGTAGTAACACTGGATCAATAAGAGATGATCCTTACTGGACCTCTAGGAAGAACAGTTTAGAACTGATAGAGCTATCCAGTATAAATAAAGTTAGTTTAGTTTAGGTTTCCTCCTGTAGTAACACTGGATCAATAAGAGATGATCCTTACTGGATCTCTGGGGAGAACAGTGTAGAACTGATAGAGCTATCCAGTATAAATTAAGTTAGATTTAAACTTCTAACGGCGTTTTCATTTTGCAGAAGTATCAAAGCACGTGATCCGCTGTTTGACGACCACACCCATGACACAAAGTTTCACGTGATCAAGGAGATGCACACGTGATCAAGCATCCATGGCAATTTCTTAACAGTCGAATATTCAGATGGAATTTGATATAAAAAAGAACTCGTTATCATAATACGAGAGGAAATGAGTTTCTGCTATTACACGCAACATAGTCAAAACAGTTGAACATTAGTAATCTTTTAATAGGTTTTTTCTGTGTGAAAAATTTGTTCAAATTTTAAAGAAATATATTGATGAGACTCATTTTTCATTGTATTTCAAAATAATAAAAACGTGTTAGTAGCTAGTATTTTCTTGGGATTTTCATAAAAGTAAAAATCCGATCATTTTAGTTAAAGGATATTGGCAATAAAAAATTAGTTTATCTCATTCAAAATAACTCATAAAATTATATATTAAACTCTATATAACCAATTTGTCATATATTGCTTAGTTCTCGAAATATTTAGACCGAAATTAATGAGCTGTCCGCCATCTTGGACTAATTCTTGACCTCATTAACTATGGTTTTGATGACGTCAGGAGTTGGGTTAACCAGATAAAACTACTCTAAAATGACCGAGTAACAATCCAAAATTGTTTGAAATATTTTTAATCATTTCTAAATTTCAGACAGCAACCAGAAACGAACTTTTGGACGCATCTTGATCGCTTAATCTCAAGATAAAAAATTAGCGTGACCCCTCTCTTGACGTAACATGCATATCCTCAATAATCCAAGATGGCGAACAGCTCACTTTTTCAGTCGAAATATTCTGAAAACTAAGCAAGATCTAAACAATCTGTAATAGAGTTTAATATATAGTTTTAAGAATTCTTTCAAATGAACTAAACTATTTTTTTATTGCCAATGTCCTTTAATTTAAAAAAGAAAAGTGGTTGCACCTGCAGAAACCCAGTTTGGACCCATATTGATCGCTCACTCTCAAGATAAAACATTAATGTGACCCATTTCTTGACGTGACATAATCCAAGATCGCAAACAGCTCACTTTTTTCAGTCGAAATATTTGGAAACCTAAGCAAGATATAAACAATCTGTAATGGAGTTTTATAATATATAGTTTTGAGAGTTCTTTCAAATAAACTCAGATTATCATTCCTGATTACATTTTGTTTGTATTTCTAGAGCTTTCAGATACTTCCTGAAACATTAGCTGTCTCAAGGGCTCTTTACATAAGTGTCATACATACTTTTCGTTTCGCGTATTTTTTAGCTGTTCAATGTGCTTAGAATTTGAACGGTCTGTTGGTAGATACCATGTAAGCAGAATTTCGACGTTTCGTGTGAACGCCCTTTGTTGGGACGTTTCTAACTTCTTCTAAGTTGTAATCTGCAGTTTTGCGCAGTGATGGCTTAGAACTTGACCCCTATATATGTTCGGGTCAGAACTGTTGTGGTTATATAGGTAAGCGAGTTTTATCCAAAGTTAGGAATAAGTGCGTTGGCAACGAGTATAAACACAGTAAGGGGGTATCGGCTGTGGGGGTATAATGATGTGTATCCTGTTTTATTTCACGAAGACAAAATAAGTATTCAGATTTCAGAGAATCGATCTCTTGTTGTCGCGTCCGAAATAAAGCGAAACGTTTCACATTTGACAAAGCTGAATTGTAGTTTAATACGATGGCTACAAACTCAAGCGATATGGGCGAATCTCAACCGTCAGCCACTGGCGCATCGGGCGCACCTATCGACTGGGCCGTAGCGTTTGAATCGCCGGAATTTCTCTCTGGCCTCCAGACAGCGCTCGGCGGTGTGGCCAATTCTACGCTGCCTCGACCCGATCATTTGGAGCAGTTGGGCGACTCTATTCCCTCACAACCAACTACATCGAGTGCGTCAGCACCAGGTAACTTGTCTGTAGCTCAAGGTATGTTTCACGTCAGTGTCGCAGAAGTAAGTTCTTCATTACTCCCACCTCGGCCATCGCTTAGTGTGTTCAACCCCACCGACGACATTCCGTCTGTTACTCCTGCCCCTAACATTATCCAAACTCTCAACCTTGGTCCAGAAGAGAATGCCTTCAGCTTGGGCGTCGGTCGTGCTCCGATTCCACGTATGTTGGTCTCGAAAATCCTCTCCAATCAGTTCATTGAACTAACAGAGCTGCTGCCCAAGAATTTGGGATCTTCTGCGTCAGATCTGGACATTTTGTCGTGGACTGAATGCTTCATTACATATATATTGGTTATGATTACTTTCCGTCCGCACCGGGCACACGATCTACTCGAGTATATGGCGCTTATTATACGCACAGCCGAGCGTTTCGACGGCAGAGCCTGGTCTCAATATGATCGCGCCTTTCGTCGTGAAGCCGAAGTTAGTAATCTCAAGGATTGGAGCGTTGTGCGAACGGACTTGTATAATTTCCACACGTCGGCAATAAATCGTCGCGTTAATTTTGAATCAACCGGAGCGATGCCTCGTGCCGGACCTATGGCACTGTAAAAACTGATTGGTTTAATTCCTTTGACTATATTAGTTAAGTAATTGGTCATCTTTCGACCAATTTATAAACGTTATTACAAACTTTGTCATATTATATATAACCTGAGGCTGTACACAAGCGAGAAGCACAGACTGAAATACGATAGGCTTGTTTGGCCTTGAAAAAAATGTTTAGCCTTTTGGTTCTAATTTGGCTTTTTTTTATCAATTGACAGGAATTTTTCAGTGTCTTTCATAATTCATTTGTGAGAACTGTGTAACACGCGTAAGTTTTGCTCGTTTTAAAACACCAGATCGTTTCATGTTATGTAAAAGTTGGAGACATTAAAATAATTTAAAATATGCTGCAAGCTTGCAGCCAACATTATTTTGTATACTTTTTTTAGATGTCATTTATTTTATTTTATTTTACAAGTTTAATTTTCCATTGCAATAGATCTATATAGAGTACTAACTATGGTTACAAATGACTGGAATTTCCACACAGAGATAGTTCTCCAATAACGGGGTTCCAAAAAAGAACAACTAATGGTATATCTAATTATTTTGAAATGAAAGCAAACATAACAATTAAACACAAATACAAGAAGACAAAGCAAACGTATTGACGAACAAACGAACAAAAACTAAATTTAGCAACATGTTCGAGTTGATAAGTTCATTAGTGGGCGAGTGGTGTGACATTTAATACACACAGACTTAAATGTTCTTGGATCTTCAGGGTCATAAATTTGTTGGGTTAATGGACCATTTGCATTATAGACTAAATTTTGATCTAGACAAAAATTTCATCACAGCTTGAAAGAGCATCACAAAATTAGTAATATTCCAAAGTTTCGTTGCGAAATGTCGTAAAATGCTGATAATATAGCCTTGTGAAGTTTGCCGTTGTTCAGTCATTTTGTATTACGCACGGGAAATTGACAGCCCAATCGGGTGTTGGGGCATCAATTTCCCGTTTGTAATACAAAATGACTGAAAATTGCAAATTTCGCAAGGCTATAGTATCCGCATTTTACAACATTTCGCAACGAAACTTTGGAATATTACTAATTTTGTGATGCTCTTTCAAGCTGTGATGAAATTTTTGTCTAGATCAAAATTTAGTCTATAATGCAAATGGTCCATTCTACGTAATATTTCATTAGATTACATTTAAATTAATGTAGTTAGAGATGAGGTATTTCTTATGAAGCCGGGAAGCATTTTGGCTTTGTGTATGATATACCAACCTTGTTTAATTGGTATTTTTAGTCGCTAGAAATAAGTAAGCTATGCCTATAGTTGGAAGTGCGAAACACTGGAAATACGATTTTTGTTACGAAATAATATTAAAAATACACACTGTCGCTGTGTCGTATCTCTGGAGTGCAACCAACAGAATAAACCTTACTTTGACTCATTAATTAAGCCACAATGTGCCCTATTTTATTGTGTTACTTTTTCTAATACCAGTCTTCCTTTATATACGCGGTTTGGTGTTGCTGTACACAGTGGCGGGGTTTTGATCGAAAAGAGGGCTAAAAACAGTCTTTTCGAGTGCAAATGGGGGGGGGGGTATGTCGGAAATTTGAAAGTTTTGTCGGACATTTAGGAGGCTTTGCCCCCCACCGGAAAAAGTGAATTTCCGCCACTGGCTGTACATTTCAATGGAAAATGTTTTAATTTCATTTGCCATTGATATGTTAGGACCCATTAGGAAAATTGTTTGGCCTGAAGGAGGAATTAAAAACTTGCATCATATATAGTTGCAATAACGCGTCAGGTTAGCCATAACAATCACTTCTACCTGCTGGTTATGAAAGCATTTAGCTGCAAGGCAAGGTACCGTGTTTATTTTCTTTATTTGAAGTGTACGTGCGTTTTTCTGAAAACGTAAACGGCTAGATTGCCCTTTTAAAAATTCATGCCCCTCTTAAATTAAAGATTCCCCGTTCTCCCTTTTAAAGATAGCCTAAAGACACGAGAAGTATATTTCAGATCATATCCACGTTTTAGCCGATTGGATAAAACGCGGATATGCCTTTGAAAGAGCCGAAAAGTATATTTTACACCATATATATCCGCGAGTGTCCGTATATGTTGTGTGTCGTCGGTTAAAAGTCGTGTGTCGTGGGTAAAGTCGTGGGTCATAAAATGTGCTAAAAACGCATTTTTTCACGAAAATATTACTTTTAATATTTTTTTTCGTACTTTTTCCTTTTATGCGCTAGATAAATACAGGAACATTTAACGCAACAAATCTCCAGTAATAAAATAAAATACATGCATGCTGTTATCTATAGTATAACAAGTAAATGTTTTAGTTTCGTATAGTCTAATACTGCCTATATAGATGTATTACTTGATGATAAAATGTCTTAAGTTATAGGATATAGGTTTATTAGCTTTGGAAGTGTTATATAGTCCCGATCACGTACGTTCATATTTTAGAGAAAAATAGGTTATCAGCCCGTCCGTATCAACGTTTTACCCTAACCCCGATCAACAGCATGAGTTCTGTACAACATCAGATCACTTTAAAGTAGCCCACATTCAAGAACATGTACTACCTCTGCATGATCTAACCATCCTAACTCAGAGAGACTTACTCTATTCACATGAGTTCTGTACAACATTAGATCACTTTAAGGTAGCCCACATTCAAGAACATGTACTACCTCTGTATGATCTAACCATGCTTAACTCAGAGAGACTTAACTCTATACTCACATCAGTTCTGTACAACATCAGATCACTTTAAGGTAGCCCACATTCAAGAACATGTACTACCTCTGTATGATCTAACCATGCTTGACTCAGAGAGACTTAACTCTATACTCACATGAGTTCTGAACAACATCAGGGCTTTAAGGTAGCCCACATTCAAGAACATGTACTACCTCTGTATGATCTAACCATGCTTAACTCAGAGATCAGATCACTTTAAGGTAGCCTACATTCAAGAACATGTACTACCTCTGTATGATCTAAACTCATGCATGCGATGTTAGGTATACGTAAGTATATACGACATATGTAAGTTTAACCCACCAAAATTCTCAAAAGCAATCAAATCTAATCTATCAATCTGTCATGACGAACAAATGACCTCAAGCTATAAACTACCATAGCAGAATAGACAAGCAATCAAACGCTTACTGCGCAAGCTAGCGTTTCATCTTTGCGCAATATGTCAAAATCGTCTCATTTTCCAACCAGTATTAAAGTATTTTATTCACTCCATTTGCTTCTAACCATTCTAAGCATTGGAGGAATCTTATTTCTCGTTTTCTCTTTGCGCGAAACACAAAATGAATTAAAGCACCTCCAAGAATCATGCGCGTTATGCGACGTTGAAAATTTGCTGAGAACCGAAAGTGAGACATTCCAGTCGAACTATGAAAGCATTTTTGAAAAGGCTGGTCAGGATTCGCGCGATGTGGAAGGCCAAGCGAATGAAAGTAGGGAGAGAAGAACGCTTCGTTCGAAAGGGATCAAAAATCAAACTTGTGCAATGATGATTCGCGATTTTATGAAATCGCTTGAAGCAACACGTAAATTGGTATGTATCAATCAATTTCAAGGCTACGTATATTGGGGTGTCGTTTTTGAATAGGGGTGTTATAGCTTAAAGTGATTTGATGTTGTACAAGACTCGTGTGAGAGACGTCTCTCTGAGTTAAAAGCTCGAAAATTGACGTTGTTGTTTTTTAGCCCAATTTGAAAGATCATTCAAAAATTGTAGAGTAACTTCTTTGACAGATTTTTGTTTTTTTGCTTCGTTTTGAAGATATTTCATTTTGTATGATATGCAGAGGACCAACTTCCTACGTCACATATGCATAATGAGTTACTTTAAAATGTTATGTAATTTTGTCTGTATGAAATAAATTCGATCAAAATGAATGACGAGCACGAGATTTGTCCATAACAACATCGATGTAGGTTTTCTACTGATTGTGTTTAGTCGTATTAAAGATGTACAGCTTTTAGGGCTAAATCATTATGCATATATGACGTAGAAGTTGGTGCTTTGCATATCATATAAAATGAAATATCTTCAAAACGAAGCAAGAAAACAAAAATCTATCAAAGAAGTTACTCTACAATGATCTTTCAAATTAGACTAAAAATTAATTAGTCGAGTCATATGCCCTTTATTCTTTAAGCATGGTTATATATATGTATCGTGTAGAGGTAGTACGTACATGGTTTTGAATGTGGGCTACCTTAAAGTGATCTGATGATGTTCAATGCATTAGATCAGCTGTATTTCATTACAGATTCCAAACAAGACTGATATCAACTTTCCAAAAAGCGTTGTTTGTCTGCCAGGTAAGTGCATTATTATCTACTGCATGTAAGTTTGGATTTTCTCTTAGGAATTTCTCGACTTCAAGTCGACTTACGAAAGTCAGCAATCACTTTCGTGAATATTCGAATATTCGATGCAATTTTAAGCAGTCATAACTTTACTGTGATGTCCTACCGTTTCACGCTGCGTGAAATCAAACGTGCGTGAATTTAGTACCGATGTTAATGTAATAGAACGAAGCTCCGTGCTAAATTATAATGTCTCTATAGTTAATTAACACTGAGCATTGTTCTAGAATGTAATTCGGAATCGTCTATTGTTTCAGGGCCAGAAGGACCCAAGGGGTCGCAAGGCATACGAGGAAATAGAGGCCCTCAAGGTCCCCGTGGCAAGAGGGGGTATAATGGTACAAAGGGTGAAAGAGGTGCAGCTGGACCACGTGGGATAAAAGGAGATCCTGGTGATATCATGAAATCTAAAGAAGGTAAGAGTCGATCTTTGTTTTTATGCATGCACGTCTGTCTGTCTGTCTGTCTGTCTGTCTGTCTGTCTGTCTGTCTGTCTGTCTGTCTGTCTGTCTGTCTGTCTGTCTGTCTGTCTGTCTGTCTGTCTGTCTGTCTGTCTGTCTGTCTGTCTGTCTGTCTGTCTGTTTGTTTGTTTGTTTGTTTATTTGTTTGTTTGTTTGTTTGTTTGTATAGCACTATTCAAGGTGTTTCACATTGAATAATACATGTACATTAAGGTAGCCTACATTCAAGAACATGTACTACCTCTGTATGATCTAACCATGCTTAACTCAGAGAGACTTAACTCTATACTCACATTAGTTCTGTACAACATCAGATCACTTTAAGGTAGCCCACATTCAAGAACATGTACTACCTCTGCATGATCTAACCATGCTTAACTCAGAAAGACTTAACTCTATACTCACATTAGTTCTGTACAACATCAGAGCACTTTAAGGTAGCCCACATTCAAGAACGTGTACTACCTCTGCATGATCTAACCATGCTTAACTCAGAGAAAGATTATCTGCTTGATTGCCTAAATATCTGTATTACCGATCATTCATGACCTTCCGTTCTCTCTCTAAAGCTCCACCGAAGATAACAACCCATCCTCCCAAAATCATATTCGTGAACGAAGGCGCCAATCTTACCTTAAACTGTACAGCCATCGGCTACCCTCTACCCTCAGTAAGCTGGTTAAAAGACAACATCTCTCAGCATGGGACTCCGCTGTTCCCAGAACGTGGAAAAGGAATGAGCCTTCGTTTCACAAAGATCACCTACGACAGAAAAGGGAAGTATAAGTGTGCTGCAAGGAATTCAATGGGAATGGCTAGTTTTGATGTGAAAATTATCTTTACAGGTAAGGCAGGAATATATACAGCATGCTACTTTACGTCCAGTGTGGGTAGTATTTACAATAAACTGCCGTTGTTTGTGTCTGAACTGCCCGAACAATATATCCCAAGCGTGGAGTCCGCAGGGCCTATTCTAAGGAAATTTCAATACTGCACATTTCACAGCAGGTATATCAATGACGTCACAGAAAGACGTCATCTTTGAATTATTGTGTTTTCATGTAGAACATAATGGCAACATACAGGGTGTCCCCAAAAAGTAACCTTTTTCAAATTCAAATCAGCCATAACCTATAATGTGATAATTCGCTGATGCGACATAAATAATCCTCAATGAATAGAGCTGTCAAATTACCACAATAAATTACAGTTAATTTGAATGGGTATACTTTTTTTGAGACAACTTGTAGAATGACAACATGACTTTTCCTTGGGCATAGTCAGATGAGCACGTATTGTTGTGAAGTATTGAATATTGGAATTATTACCGGAACTTGGCCTATATTTGGCCAATCTTTGTTTGCACCTTGTAGCATTTTGTAGCAAAGGCATTTTGGAATTCTCAACTTTATATTTTATCTAATATATTTTATTTTGTCGTTCGTTATGTTAATATCTTTCAGTACCGCCAAGACGACTTGGCTCGCCGGAAACAATCGCTTATACAGGGAACTCAGTTAATCTACAATGTCCCGTAGACTCATATCCCCCAGCAAAAATTCGGTGGATCAAGCCCGGCTACACTTTGTCGAATGGGGATATGTCTGTGGTGAACAGTACACTCAATATTAGGAACGTGAAAGAGGAACATGAAGGGATATACCTGTGTCAGGCAAAGAACGTGTTTGGATCCACTTTCACTGGACTATCTGTGAAAGTGAGGAGTGAAGGTAAATGACAGAGAAAAATAATAACTCAGCTTCAGCAGTTTAGGCCTGTTTCAAACGTCGCGCTTCTCATGTGCCGAACGCATTAAAAACAATAGATAATCAGCTGAAATGCCTCATTATATATTGTTTTTAATGCGTTCGGCACATGAAAAGCGCGACGTTTGAAACAGGCCTTAGACTACCAGAATAATCAACAAAAGCAACAAGAGGGACCTGTACTGGGTTCCGAAATTCCGCCATCCCGACCAATTTTCACTTCAAATCCCGTTATCCCGCCATGTCTCATCACAATTTCCCGCTCCCGACTTTTTTTCTAACACTGTTCAAAGTATTATGATTTAGATGTAGACAATGGATAACCAAGTATTCAAAGGCATGGTAACGAGATATAATACAATAGAACAAAGTTCATAATAATAAATGACTCTACATCGCGACTCTTCTAAAGCCGCAATCATAGTAATCGTGCATGTAAATTAATCGATATCATCCTTGAAAACATTACATTTCGATCACACAATCAACATTGTCGACTTATCCCGCTAATCGCGGATTACTTCCCTACCATGGTATTTTTATTAGTCCCACTTCCCGCGATGGAAAAAATCCCGCTTCCCGACCAATGTTTCTCTTAAAATCCCGAATCCCACTTCAATTTTAAACGCATTCCACCATCCCGGTACAGGCCCCTCCAACAACAGTAGCAGCGACATCAACAATAGCACGACACCATCATCATCACCATCACCATCATCATCACCATCATCATCACCATTATCACCATCACCATCATCATCATCGTCATCATCACCATCACCATCATTATCATCATCATCACCATCATCCCCATCATCATCACCATCACCATCATCATCATCATCATCGTCATCATCACCATCATTATCATCATCATCACCATCATCCCCATCATCATCACCATCACCATCATCATCATCATCACCATCATCACCATCATTATCATCATCATCATCATCATCATCATCATCATCATCATCACCATCGCCATTACCATCATCACCATCGCCACCACCATCACCACCACTAACAACAATATTGTACATCACATATCCTAACATTTTAAACTACACTTCCATTCTAGTTGAACCAACATTCACAGAAAAACCTCCAATCTCAAAAGGTGTATTTCGACACCAAAAGGTCACCGTTAATTGCGCTGCGTCTGGGGACCCTGTTCCACAAGTCACATGGACAAAACGTGATCAGAAACAGTCTACCACGCACGAAATACGTGCCGAATTAATAATCAACTCGTTCAACGTTTCTGACGTGGGAAACTATACATGCACTGCGGAAAATGATCTTGAAAGTGAAGCTGTTGCTGTTATTAGACTATGTGAGTATTATAGTTTCCTGCCGTGGTTTGTGTCTAAACATGCGGGAACAGGATACAAACCACGACAGCTTATTGTAGAATATTACCCACACTGGACCACCACGTTTGAGATATCTTTTTCAGGTAGTTCAGACACAAACCACGACAGCTTATTGTAGAATACTACCTACACTGGACCACCACGTTTGAGATATCTTTTTCAGGTAGTTCAGACACAAACCACGACAGCTTATTGTAGAATATTACCCACACTGGACCACCACGTTTGAGATATCTTTTTCAGATAGTTCAGACACAAACTACGACAGCTTATTGTAGAATACTACCTACACTGGACCACCACGTTTGAGATATCTTTTTCAGGTAGTTCACACACAAACCACGGCAGCTTATTGTAGAATACTACCTACACTAGACCACCACGGTTGAGATATCTTTTTCACGTAGTTCAGACACAAACCACGGTAGTTTATTGTAGAATACTACCTACAATGGACCACCATGTTTGAAAGATCTTTTCATTATAAGCAGTAGTTTTGTTTCCGAGAGATGTGGTTTAATATTATTCCTTCTACAGGAGTCAACATCTCCTGCCCTGTAGCGCTTGCTGAAATGCACCACCAGTATAAAATATCTAAATATTTACTTGGTTATCTTCTCAGATCTCATTCAATGTCCACGTTTGACACCTCCCATTAATGGTCACATGATCAGCTTGAACGAAGGTAGCGATGACGTCATGATATTCTCATGTGACCAAAGGACGCAGATGATTGGTCCAGAAATTCGAGTGTGCCAGCGCAATGGAACCTGGACAGGAGGAACAACACACTGTGAGTAGGCTGTGACTGAGGTTTTATTCCTGCCATCCAGTATAAATAAAGTTAGTTTAGCTTAGGTTTCCTCCTGTAGTAACACTGGATCAATAAGGTTTCTCCTCTAGTAACACTTTCCTTACTTGACCTCTAGGGAGGACAGTTTGGAACAGATAAAGCAATCCGGTATAAATAAAGTTAGTTTAGTTTAGGTTTCTTTCTGCAGTAACACTGGATCAATAAGAGATGATCCTTACTGGATCTCTGGGAAGAATAGTTTAGAACTGATAGAGCTATCCAATATAAATAAAGTTAGTTTAGTTTAGGTTTCCTCCTGTAGTAACACTGGATCAATAAGAGATGATCCCTACTGGACATCTAGGAAGAACAGTTTAGAACTGATAGAGCTATCCAGTATAAATAAATAAAGTTAGTTTAGTTCAGGTTTCCTCCTGTAGTAACACTGGATCAATGAGAGATGATCCTTATTGGGCCTTTAGAAAGAACAGTTTAGAACTGATAGAGCTATCCAGTATAGATAAAGTTAATTTAGTTTAAGTTTCCTCCTGTAGTAAGACTGGAACAATAAGAGATGACACTTACTGGACCTATAGGATGAACAGTTTAGAACTAATAGAGCTACCCAGTATAAATAAAGTTAGTTTAGTATCAGCACAATCTTGTAAAAATGAATGATGTGTTTTAGGTATAGGAGATATTTTACACAAAGAAGGCTCTATGATTCTTAGAGGCCACAACGAGTACAGACAAAGTCTGCTAAACTTCCTTAAACCAGTTCAAGCACTCGATACTAAATGGAAGCTCTGTTACCGAGCCAGCAAGGATGGATGGTCAGCGTTCAGCTTCCACGGTGCATGCGGAAACAGAGAGTCGACCGTCACCATTGTGAAAGTGGGACAGTACATATTTGGTGGTTATTCAGACACCAAGTTTGGAGGTAGGTACTAGATTATCTTAAGACATGGACCATTATAGATAAAGAGATAAAGAGAGGATTTTCAAAACAATGAAAAGACAATAGAACATTCTGATCACTGGATCATGACTGGATGGTATGGAGAACAGTGGCATTTTCAAAACAATGAAAAGACAATGGAACATTCTGATTACAGGATCATGACTAGATGTCATGAAGAACAGTGGGATATTCAAAACAATGAAAAGACAATGAAACATTCTGATCACTGGATCATGACTGGATGGCATGAAGAACAGTGGGATATTCAAAACAATGAAAAGACAATAGAACATTCTGATCACTGGATCATGACTGGATGGTATGGAGAACAGTGGGATTTTCAAAACAATGAAAAGACAATGGAACATTCAGATCACTGGATCATGACTGGATGGTATGGAGAACAGTGGGATTTTCAAAACAATGAAAAGACAATGGAACATTCTGATCACTGGATCATGACTGGATGGCATGTAGAACAGTGGGATATTCAAAACAATGAAAGACAATGGAACATTCTGGTCACTGTATCATGACTGGATGACATGGAGAACAGTGGGATTTTCAAAACAATGAAAAGACAGTGGAACATTCTGATCATAACTGGATCGCGGTGGAAGTGTCACAGAAAACGCCCGTAGATTATAGATGATAGATGAATAAACTTATATAATAAAGAATCACAATATAAACCGAAAGTAACAAAACCCCTTCCCTTTTAGTGCCAGTTCATGAATATCACAACCGCTACAACTACCAGACGAAAGGCCGTAACTGCCATCGAAGTTCTAAAGCATTTATATTCTCCCTGAAGAACAAGGACAGTCTCCCTCCGTTTCAAAGCCGTCCATTCCAAAACTATGGTTATGCAATTTGTGCCGATGCAAGTAAAGGAGTTCAGTTCAGTAATGATATAAAAATAAGTGATTTTGCGGGCAGTAACACAGGGTCGAGTAGCTCGTTTGGTTATACATACAGGCCGCCCTCTGGTTATGATTACGATGAGGCCAAGACGAAAGGATTGCTTGCTGGAAGTGCTAGCTTCACCCCTGATGAGATTGAAGTCTTTTTTGAACAATAAAATACTCTTTGGCTTTTAATCTTTTGCGTAATAGTAATAGTAATAGTAACATTATTCATTATTTAGTTCAATAAAACTACAGGTAGATGGAAAGATGGTTTTTATTTAGTTTAATAGAACTACAGGTAGATAATTATCAATAACGGCTTTTGTAGCTGGAATTTCCTAGTGTGAATTTTATACATTTATCAGTTACATCTTAACAAGGAGCATTTTGAAAAAAATGCACCAATTGGCCCTCCGGCATGCAGGAACCGAACTAAAAAATGCTTTAGTTTTATATTATGGTTATACAGCCATATTTTCAAATATACTCTACCTTAACAAGCAAATTTACTGTAATGTGCAAGTCTGATACAGTCATGATATAACAAGAATGTTACAAGGTTGTTCTAACAAGTCTCATACAGTCATGAGATAACAAGAATGTCACAAGGTTGTTCTAACAAGTCTGATACAGTCATGAGATAACAAGAATGTTACAAGGTTGTTCTAACAAGTCTGATACAGTCATGATATAACAAGAATGTTACAAGTTGTTCTAACAAGTCTGATACAGTCATGATATAACAAGAATGTTACAAGGTTGTTCTAACAAGTCTCATACAGTCATGATATAGCAAGAATGTTACAATGTTGACGACACAAGGTTGTAACACTATTGTTATATCATGGCTGTATCGGACTTGTTGGAACAACTTGCAACAACTCTGATAATATCAACAAGGTTCCAGGTGATCTCGTGTTCGTATTTTAACCAATCAGCGCTCAGAAAGGGTTGTCCGAATAGAAATCCATTTTGATGTATTCAGTCAATTATATCTTTCGTTATTCTTTATGAAACTAGTTGAAATGTTGTAGTTATGTTTGGTTATGAGAACTCTAGCTCTGACAAAAATATGGAATTGAAATAAAGTATATTACAGGAGATATTCAGTTGTTTTAATCATAAAATGGATTTCTATTTGACAACTAGTGCCAGTACTTTTCCGCGTATCAAGATCATCTGGTTGTTACGAGTTGTTAACAGCTTGGTCCAAACTTGTTGACAACTTGGGACAAGCAGTGCGAACACAACTTGTTGACGGCTTGTTGGCTGACTTGCTACAAGATGTGAGATTTTTACGTGTGTATCTGCACCAAGTTCATTGTTAGCCAAACTGTCACAACTACAAAACGTTACAACAGTACCACGCCTTTAATCTGCACAGCCTGACAGCAAGCAAAACGACAAGAGGGCACGCAATATCGTTTACAACTGGGATGACAATCCTTCCCATCCTTCAACGGTTCCTCGATATTCTGACGACTCTTTCCGACACTTGACCGAACCTTTCCGACGGTTGCCGGATCCTTTACGACACCTACTTTCGCGAGATCTGATTTTCTTTGAATGCTTGGATGTGGTACAAGTGGCTTGACGAGATGGGCTTGTCTATATTCCTCAATATTCTCTTTTATACAGCAAGACCATTCACACGAAGGGAGACAGCGGTGCTGACAGACTTCAGCACAGATACGGGCACCTATGAACCAATCAAATAAAATAATAAATCTGGTGAGGTCTTCACAGTAAAAACTACACACGCCTAGAAACGCACAAGTTGTAACAAAGCTGTAGCAGACTTGTAGCAATGCTGTTCTAACAACTTGTCAAAAGGATGTGTTCGCACTGCTTGTTCCCAGTTTGTTGACAAGTCGTCAACGGGGTTTGTTGACAATTTGCTACAAGGTTGAATTGTTACAAGTTGTTCTAACAACATGCTATCGTCCAGCAATTCAACAAGTTGTGAGTGACAACCTCGTAGCGACTTGATAAAATAACAACATTATTACAATTTGTTGACAAGCTTGCTACATACAAGCCTGTTGCGAACACATCTTGTTGACAAGTTGTGAGATTTTACGGGTGTACACACGCAAAAATCTCACATTTTGTAGTAAGTCTGCCAACAAGCCGTCAACAAGTTGTGTTCGCAATGCTTGTCCCAAGTTGTCAACAAGTTTAGAACAAGCTGTTAACAACTTGTAACAACCTTGTTGATGTTATCTACCCAACAAAGCTGTAAGGTTGTTTCAACAAGTCCGATACAGTCGTGATATAACAATAGTGTTACAACCTTGTGTCATCAACCTTGTAACATTCTTGTTATATCATGATTGTATCAGACTTGTTAGAACAACCTTGTAACATTCTTGTAATATCATCACTGTATTAGACTTGTTAGAACAACTTTGCTACAAGTCTGATGATGCCATCAAGCTTGTTGCAAAGCTTGTTCCAAACTTGTTACAACAACTGGGAACAAGCAGTGCGAACACAACTTGTCGACAGCTTGTGAACAGATTTGTAACAACTTGTTTGCAGACCTGTAACAACTTACTGTACGTTTTACGTGTGTATAGAGAGTAATCAGGCCATTTAAATCACTATTTCTTAGGGAACGGTAATTATTTATGGCGCGGGGTGGAGCTGAAGAGAAAAGGGTTGGGTAAACAAAATTTCTAATGAGAAAAAGGTTGGATAAATAAAAAACAAAACAACTCAAGGGTTGGGTAACAAAAATTTACTGTCATTTCCAGAGCATGACTTGCTCAAATATTTAAGATTAAAAAGCAATGTCAACAGTCATATGTCAATACAATATGCAAATCAATCAGAGTCACTATCTTGATCATTTTCCGATTTGTCAGGAGACAAATGGTGTCTTCAAAGAAAGTACATGTGCAGACAACATGAAACTTTAGACTGCAGAAAATTGCACAAGCAGTTATCAAACTCGCGTCACAGAAGTGGTAAAGGACATGTGTGACAACTGAATGGTATCCTTTTGTAAATCTTTGGCCAGGGTGGGTATTTATTTCAGGTGGCATGGGTAAAAATTCTTTTTGAATTTTTAATGGTTCCGTTGGATCTGCAAAAGTTTTACCAAGAAAAAAAATTCTCTTCGGTGCCACCCCCCCCCCCGCCATAAATAATAGAGACCTTCAGATTGACGTCTACGGCAAACGTCAAACCGCTAACGACGTTTTTGATTTTACAACTCTATTATAACAGCTTTTACACCAGTTTTGAAATATATTAAACAATGATTAAACTTGTGGTACTTAAAAATGATTCAAGAAAACAGATTAACCACAGTCATGTATTCACCAAAGCAGTAAATTAAGATTTAGCGTTTGAAGTCTGCGTTTGGCGTATAAATTTCATGCTTTAACGACTACAAGCCCTCGTAGCAGTTCAAGTATGAAATTTGTACGCGAAACGTAAACTTCAAACGCCAGATCTTAATTTACTGCTTTGGTGAATACTTGACTAGTGCATGGTTAATTTGCTTTCTCAAATCATTGCTAAAGAGCACAAGTTTAATAATTGTTTAATATATTTCAAAACTGGTGTAAAAGCTATTATAATAGAGTTGAAATATCAAACACTTCGTTAGCGGTTTGACGTTTGCCGTAAACGTCAATAGAAAGCTTAAGCTTCGCGTTAAACGACAAACGACAAACGTCAGGCAAAGAAACATTTTACACTATAAAGCAATAAAAAGTAGTTGGGCTTGTTGTTTTATAACTATAGAATGCTTAACTATTCCTTTGTCATATGAAAGAAAATATGACACGCCGAAATCGAATGAAAATCATGCCAAGAAAAGTCTTGTGGATAATTAATTCATTTTATTTCGAATATCGAAGTCCGATCCGATCCGACTACGAAACAACTTTATCAAACCGATCCGATCCGAAATGTATATTTTTGTTCCGAAATCCGAACGAATCCGATCGGATCGGATTCGGATCGGATTTGTACACCTCTACTCCCTATTAATTCTAAAAGTCTGTAATAACCGCAAGGGTGGGTTGACTACAAAATTTTTGTAGTTCGCTATAACTACAGCTACTTCAAAAATATGTAGTCAGCTACAACTACTGCTACTTTTGAACAAAGGTAGTTCGCTACTGACTACAGCTACTGCTTAAAAATTGTAGCGAACTATTTCGCTATTTCGCTACACTATATTTTTTAGTTTTACTGTATTTGGAGCATCTACTAACTCAGGCAGTAATGTAATCTATAACAAATCGACTTACGAGTCGCAACAGTAAACACAAAGCAACATATTTGTAAGCACTACAGTGTTCAGGAGTGCAATTGAGTAATGATTTTAAGCAAACCGTGTCTCAATATCATGCTATTCTATCAAGTTGCTAACAATTTTAAAAAGTAGCGAATAGCGATTCGCTGTTTGAAAAGTAGTCAACTACTTGGCTACTTTTAGGCAAAATGTAGTTCACTATAACTACAACTACTGTTTTAAAAAAGTAGTCAAAAACTACTGGCTACTTGAAAATTGTAGTTCGTTACAGTAGCGAACTACAACTACTTCGCTACTACCCACCCTTGAATAACCGGCCACTTACGTGAAGTCGTAGGTGTTTCTTTTTCCGGTGCTTTGTCCCTTTTCGACATTTCTGTCACCATGTTGTTCAGATATGATTTGGCATAATTTTTAAACTCCTCTGTGGAAAATAATGTATGTTAAACAAGCAGCAACTAACGAAATATTTTCCAAAACAAACTCGAAATAAAACAGTATAGAACTGATAGAGTTATCCACCTTTTACATCGCTTGGAATTACGGGAGAAAACTCTATTTTTTCACGTTTGTTCAGTTCGCTTGTTTCCCTCGTTTCCAACGAGAAAACGAGATCAAAAATGAAAAGCGTGATTGCCAAAATGCTGTACATGTCCAGTCTAAACAAATTAGAAAGAACAGTTTAGAACTGATATTGTGTGATCCAGTATATAGCATATAGTTAGTTTACGTATGGCCCTTACTGGACTTCTAGCAAGAGAGTTTAGAACTGATAGAGCTATCAAGTATAAAAAGTTAGTTTTGTTTAGGTTTCCTTCTGTAGTATGCTGGATCAATAAGAGATAATCCTTACTGGACCTCTAGGAAGAACAGTTTAGAACTGATAGAGCTATTCAGTATAAATAAAGTTACTTTAGTTTAGGTTTCCTCCTGTAGTAACACTAGATCAATAAGAGATGATCTTACTGGATTTCTACCATGCAAGAAGAGTTTAGAACTGATTAAGCTATCCAGTATAAATAAAGTTAGTTTAGTTTAGGTTTCCTCCTGTAGTAACACTGGATCAACAAGAGATGATCCTTACTGGACCTCTAGTAAAAACAGTTTAGAACTGATAGAGCTATCCAGTATAAATAAAGTCAGTTCAGTATAGGTTTCCTCCTTTAGTAACACTGGATCAATAAGAGATGATCTTACTGGATCTCTACCATGCAAGAAGAGTTTAGAACTGATAAAGCTATCCAGTACAAATAAAGTTAGTTTAGTTTAGGTTTCCTCCTGTAGTAACACTGGATCAATAAGAGATGATCCTTACTGGACCTCTAGGAAGAACAGTTTAGAACTGATAGAGCTATCCAGTATAAATAAAGTTAGTGCAGTTTAGTCAAAATGTGTGTACGGTTTACGAAACTGTTACAAATTGACAAGTTATATATACTTTGGTTTATTTACTGAATTCAGTGAACTGTGAAACTATGGAAAAAGTGCATCACCCAGTAACAAGTGCTATACCTTTTATTTTTACCAAAAACAATAAAGTTTATTTTGCTTAAAAATTGCGTTAACATAGTACATACCTATACATCGTTTTCTTCAAAGCTATTTTTCTTGAAGTTGAAATCTCATGTTAAACAACACTTCAAAATGAACAGGTTACGCGCTGAATAATTAATCACCCGAGCTGGCAAGACCCACTGACTGCAATAAAACACTGCATGGACTTTGCAGATATCGTCCAAGCCGGCCAGGCCAAGTCAAAATTACAGAGAAGCGTTGAACACAAATTCGACAAAAGCGAGTTGACAAGCGAGAGTTTACATGAAAGTTTTCTCAACATTCATTGCTTGATCAAACGAGAACAAGAGTTGCATGAGAGTTGACAAGCGAGAGTTTACCTGAGATTTTTCTTAACTTTCATTGCTTGATCAAGCGCGAACAAGAGACGCATGAGAGTTGACAAGCGAGAGTTTACATGAGAGTTTTCGCAACTTTCATTGCTTGATCAAACGAGAACAAGAGTTTCATGAGAGTTGACAAGCGAGAGTTTACATGAGAGTTTTCTCACCTTTCATTGCTTGATCAAACGAGAACAAGAGTTGCATGAGAGTTGAGAAGCGAGAGTTTACATGAGAGTTTTCTTAACTTTCATTGCTTGATCAAACGAGAACAAGAGTTGCATGACAGTTGAGAAGCGAGGTTTACATGAGAGTTTTCTCAACTTTCATTGCTTGATCAAACGAGAACAAGAGTTGCATGAGAGTTGAGAAACGAGAGTTTACATGAGAGTTTTCTCAACTTTCTTTGCTTGATCAAACGAGAACAAGAGTTGCATGAGAGTTGAGAAGCGAGAGTTTACATGAGAGTTTTCTTAACTTTCATTGCTTGATCAAACGAGAACAAGAGTTGCATGAGAGTTGAGAAGCGAGAGTTTACATGAGAGTTTTCTCAACTTTCATTGCTTGATCAAACGAGAACAAGAGTTTCATGAGAGTTGAGAAGCGAGAGTTTACATGAGAGTTCTCTCAACTCTCTAAAGAATACAAACTTTCTGAAAACTATAGCTGTTCCTACAGGTGAGCCGTGTCATGAACTAACTTACCTCGCGACATCACCAATATATATATAGGCTAATTTTGTAAATAATTATTGGGTTAGTATAGTTTCTATAAGCATGTACTATTTTTGTAAACACGGCCCTTTGAAAAACAGATTACTGAAGGGCCAACGTGGTTAAATAAGTTTAAAATAATATTAATAATCATTTCCTCTTAATATCTTACACTATATCAAAGATTCTGTGATCACGGTAGAAATTTTGCATAAAAAATTCTAAGTCTTGAAGAATTTGTAAGAGATGTTTGAGGTGTTAAACACCAAGTCAGTTTCTTCAAACATTTCTTACAAATCCTTCAAAACTTAGAATTTACCCATGCAAAATTCCTACTGTGATCACAGAAACTTTGATAGCGTAAACCTTAAAGGCTTAAGATAATATAAGATTGACATTGTAGGAATTGAGCTGGGATAGAATGGGTTGTCGTGGTTCGAGTCTGCATGAGCTACCTGAAAAAGATTCCGAACGAAGGTTCTTCCATTTGGAAAGGAAGAGATTTCTTTCAAAATGTCAAAGTTTTATGTGCATCTTCAGGTAGTTTAGACATAAACCACGGTAGCTCAAAAATGAATTGTGTCTCTACAGACAGCGTTCAAATTAAACTTTCGACCCATATGTAACCTGTCGCTTTATAATCAGCTGTTAAGACAGCAACCTGCAAAATACCGGTCTATGGTCTATTGAAAGCCGACATGGTTTTACATTGTTTAAGGATTTCAATGCTTTTAAAAGGCTGGCGATTTCATTTCGAATGAAAAGTAAAGAATTGAAGTTTAGTTCTTAAAGAGCAGTTAACGAGACTGTTACAAATTCTTACTAAAATAAAAGATATTGAACGTCTAGTACTGTGTATTCTTTTACTTGCTTTGGGAAAATGTTAACTGAAGACGCTTGATCGTTGTCAGGATTTGTTTGATTTAAAATATCAAAGGACTTTGAAAACAGCAGGTAAGGAGATTACTGTAAAGATTAAACCTATTTTAACCTTTTTTAACTACTATAAGTGCCTCTTTCTTGGCCGTAAAGTTGTAAAATTAGCGACAAAGATTTGCATGAATGTTGAGAAGCGAGAGTTTACATGCATAAGAGAACAAGAGTTCCATGAGAGTTGAGAAGCGAGAGTTTACATGAGAGTTTTCTCAACTTTCATTGCTTGATCAAACGAGAACAAGAGTTGCATGAGAGTTGAGAAGCGAGAGTTTACATGAGAGTTTTCTCAACTTTCATTGCTTGATCAAACGAGAACAAGAGTTGCATGAGAGTTGACAAGCGAGAGTTTACATGAGAGTTTTCTCAACTTTCATTGCTTGATCAAACAAGAACAAGAGTTGCATGCATGAGAGTTGACAAGCGAGGGTTTATATATTTATGAAAATGTTCTCGAGTGTGTATTTCATAATTTCCAGACGGCGCGCAAGCAGAAAGATATTGCCTCGATATATATATACCGCGATAGATATATAATTATTATTATTATATTTCCTCTTAATATCTTAGCATGGTTGGCATGAGAACATTAGTCCTGGCAATTCTGTGTCTAACTATAGCACAATCGCTAGCCAAAGAAACACAGAAAGAAACCCAAGGTCAATCAAAGAGCAATGACAAGCCAGAACACACTACAGAAAAGCCAGAACACACTACAGAAAAGCCAGAACACACTACAGAATCGGATTCAAGTGACAAACGACCAGATTCCGACAGCGACCGATCAGAAGCCAAAGAGCAACAAAAACCTTCCGAGAAAAAACAGTCGGATTCCAACGATGACCGAAATTCTTCCGACGATGATCGAAATTCGTCCGACGATAACCGAAGTTCTTCCGACGATGACCAAGGTGCTTCCGAAGATAAGCAACCAAAGTCAGACAACAAGAAATCAAACTCGGATAAGGAATCGGAAACCGACGATGACCGAGCTAAATCCGAAAGCGACCGATCCGAAGGTGAACAACACGATAGCGAACATGATGATGGGAAAGAGGCTGAAAATAGCAATGAGAAATCAGATAATGGCAAAGACCTAACTCAAAGACGACACGATGGAATTATCAAAAAGAAAGAAAATGCCGCTGTACTTCAAAATTTGAAAAAAATTGTTCAAGTTATGAAAGGCAAAAAATTGAAAAGAAAACATAAGAAACGAAAGCACAGAAAATATTACACTTACAGAATGCATATGGCGAGCATAAAAGGTAAGATAATTAATTTAGTATACACTAAGGGACCGCTCATTATATATGGGGGAGGGGGGAGGGGGGGGGGTTACCCAACCTCAAATATCAATGGACCTTTCCCCTTATAACTAAAATTTCGATCTAGACAAAAATTTCATCACAGCTTGAAAGAGCATCACAAAATTAGTAATATTCCAAAGTTTTGTTTCAAAATCTTGTAAAATGCGGATAATATAGCCTTGCGAAGTTTGCCGTTTTTCAGTCATTTTGTATTACAAACGGGAAATTGACATCCGATTCGGGTGTTGGGGCTGCAATTTCCATTTGTAATGCAAAATGACTGAAAATTGCAAACTTCGCAAGGCTCTATTTTCCTCATTTTACAACATTTCGCAACGAAACTTTGGAATATTACTAATTTTGTGACGCTCTTTCAAGCTGTGATGAAATATTTGTCTAGACTTGCCTAGATCAAAATTTTGGTTATAAGGGGAAAGGTCTATTCAAATGAATAAATACTCGTCCCTGGCCAAAAACTTTACAACAGGATACCATTCATGTCCTTTACCACTTCTGCGACATGAGTTTGACAACTTTTTAATGACTCTGACTGATTTGCATATCGTATCAACACGTGACTGTTGACATTGCTTTCTAGTCTTCAATATTTGAGCGAGTCATGCTTTACAAATGACAATAAATTTTTATTACCCAACCCTTGAGTTGTTTTGTTTTTCATTTACCCAACCTTTTATTCACTCAAAATTTTGTTTACCCAACCCCTTTCTCTTCGGTGCCACCCCCCGCCATAAATAATGACCATTCTATACTTCGACAATACTACCGCTATTTGACTATGCCGATGTAATTTGGGGCGATAAAAACAATTCAGAACTTATGAACTCCCTGCAAACCTTGGAAAATAAAGCAGCTAAATTAATACTAGATCTCCCTCCTCTTTCGTCGGCAACCGAAACTCTCGCTACATTACACTGGTCAACTCTCTCATCTCGCATATATAAACATCGTTGTATCTTTATCTACAAATGCACTAATGGACTGATAGATTTCGACTTCAATCTGACAACTAACAGCATGCAGAATCCATTCCCACAGCACAAGATCGTGTAACAACCTCCATCTCCCGAAAGTCAACACGAACTGGGGTAAACATAAACCAACCTACCTCGCTTCGAAAGACTTTAACAACTTGGACGTTTCCGTCAGAAACACTGATTCTCTGAGTCAATTTAAGTCATTACTTAGGTCACATACCATATATAACTATTCCTAGTTGTACTTATTAGATATAGTTAATTATTCGTTGCCCCATGTCGTAACGTTGTATATTATTAATTGTGTATATTTATGTAAGTAAATTTTGTTCATGATTGTATCATGCAGGACCCCACTGAAAAACACATTAGTGATGTGGGTATCCTGGGTAAATATAATCATAAATAAATAAATAAACAAAAAATTCCCCAAGTGGACTAGATTCCTGAAGGTTTAGAGTTTAAATCCCTGATTCCACGAGCGCTTTTTCTCGGCGAAATGCGAATTATTTCGCCTGTGTCTTTTGAATTGCGACCACTCGAATAAATTCTTTCTACTTGATTGCTCACAATTCAAAAGAAACATGCGAAATATTTCGCATTTCGCCGAGAAAAAGCGCCCGTGGAATCAGGCCTTTATAAGGAATAAGAGCTCACCACCAATCTCTGTAAACTTGATAGCTCAACAGTATATAGTATTTAAGAACACGTTTTTAATGGTATTTTTCAGATCAAATGAGGGATCTCGCAAACATCGCAATTGCAGGACTGAAAACCAGAAAGAAACTTGAAAGTGAGAGACAACGTAAGTAGATTTTGTTCAAGAATTTTTGACTGCATGTACACTAGTTCTCTGGAATTAAAACGATTATCGAAGAAATTGGATGATGATGAAGAAATCGAGTATGTTTGCAAGGCTTTCGTAATCTTTTTAAAGTGCGATTAACACCAAATTTGGTATGTGTAATATTTGGGTCATTGTAAGAAGAAATGTTAAATATCTTTACAGTAAAAACATCATCTTGATCAACTTTTCGCTGTCAAAGTTTCCAGATATGATGTCATTAGGTGAATTTTTTGGTACAAAAAACAAAGGAAAATAATGAAACCAAATTTTGCAATTTCACTAATTTCATTATGTTCTTTTTACCTGTGGTATTTGATTCCCTTCTCTTCACTTAATCTAACATGCAAGTTGTCCATTAACAATTAACAAACTGTTCAATTGACGTGTTCAATCAACCAACCAAGAGATCAAGCAATCAGACACTTGCTTATAAAAAATATATTTTACCATTCGTAAAAGCAAAACCTTTCCATACAATGTAATAGACTATAGTTAAACTTACAAATCCGACTTTATTAATTTATTGTTACTATTCCTTTGCCAAAACCGAGATGGATGCTCAGTATAGTTTAAAGCACGTAGCCTTGCAGTACACCTCAAAACACCCTCCCGAGCTCCAGCAGTTTCGAAAGCCCTGTGTTTGTATGTGAACTATACACAAGAATTTAGGCTCCACTTCTACATAATTGTACCAAGTAAGAAGAAGAATACTGTTTCTTACAGCAATCAATTTTTTTTGTTTCAGAAAAGATAGTGAAATGGAAGAAAAAGCTTCATGATATGAGAAGCTACAAGAAAGCAGAAATTCCTGAGGAGCAAGATCAGCCAGCAGTGACGAAAGTAACAAAACGTATGTTTCCAGGTTAACCAACGAAAAAAACTAAAACTATCAATCAATCAATCAATCAATCAATCAACTTTATTTAACGAGGGTAAACACTGAACAGTATATCAACTGACTAACAAGTGGCCCTCTTATACTATAACTACATTACATACAATTAAAAATACTATATAACATGTAATCATGATAATACTATAAGTTCATAAGTTAAAAAGTCAAGATATTGTGAAAGAATCAATATCA